AGGAGAGGTGTGTGTGTTATGGGAGAATGTGTGTGTGTGTGTGTGTGAAAGAGAGAGAGAGTGTGTGTGCGTGTGTGTGTGTGAGAGGAGAGAGAATAATCAAGGGAGATAATGCTTCACTGTCCTTTGTGTATGTTATTTCTTTATTTGTCTCCCCTGGCTGTGTTTAGCCTCCTTTTCGGATGCACAAGTTGTGGCCTTGTAGTGAAATCTAGTGCTGAACGAGGTAATGAAATTGTAGAAACAGATATTTTACTGTCCATTTGGCCATTTTTATCAATTTTTTTCATTTGGCGTTCAACACCTATTCTGTACTTTTTAAAACACATTCCATTCTTGTGTAGATTTTACTGAAAAAATGTTGATAGAAGGCCTAAAACCTATAAATTTATAGTTTCCAAGAACTCTTTCAGCTTTGAAAGTCGCAAAAGTTTGGTGGCCAAATTCCCCACTTGTATTACCTTTGACATCGGAAGATCCCCACCTCCTTAAATTGCAAATTTCTACTTTTTTTCTCGATAGATTGGTATTTAAAAAAATCAAAAGCGAGACACAAATGAACAAACTTTAAGATAATTTCAATAACTCCATATGCCCCAAAATTGACGAACGCCTTTCCTCCGCATTGTGACACAGTTGGCGACCTCAGTGCTTTCCTGTCATATCTCCATTTTTTAAAACAGTGAGCACAGTTCATAACAAAGAGTGAGTGTAAGGAGAAGTCACCTTTTCAAAGTTAAAAATAAATGGAGATACGACAAGAAAGCTCTGAGGTCGCGAGACTGTAGCCTGACTTGTGCGGGTCCAGCTTTCCACAGGCTGGGGGAACATAAGCACACCTTCTGAACATCTGGGTTGTTTTTTATTGTTTCTTTTTTTTTTTTTTAATTGTTGAATTTTATCCCCTATCTCAGCATGATTATAAAGAAATTTCTGTGCAGTTTTGTTATTGATGCTGCTGTTGCTTTCAGAATTTGACAATTTTTTATATTTTCTTAGTTCTTAAACTTTTTTTCTTTCTTTCAGCTCTTCAGGTTTTTCTGACTTTGTTTCTGTATTTTCTTTGCAGCTTCATGGATTTGTGGAGAAATACCAAGACTCCGAGGTCAATGCGGGTAAGTTTAGTTAGGTACATATGTGAGGAAGCGTGGTGGAATCAGGCTCTCGTCAATTTTTGGGCATGTAGAGGTATTGGTATCATCTTCAAGCTTGTTTATTTTTCTTGCTTTCAATGAAAAAATGACCCATCCACCTTCAATAGAAATGGAGATATTTTGGATTGAGGGCGGTGAGGGTCACCTGTTTTAAGAGGTAAAATTAGCGAGAAAATGGCCGCCAAAGCTTGGTAAATTCCAAAGCTGGAGAGTCTATGGAAACTGTAAATTTATATTTGTGTGCCTTTAATCAACGCTTTTCGGTGAAATCCTCAAAGGAATGTTTTTGTAAATGGACATGAAATGTATTGAGCCAAAAAACAAAAATTTGATTAAAATTACTAAGCAGGGAGAAAACTGCTGTTTTCTTCGATTTCATTATTTTGACGAGAGCCTAATTCCACCACGCTGCCTCACATATGCTTGGATCACAGTTGCGTACTCATGCATGACTCTACACAAGCACACTTACAGTGCTTGCACATATTATGTGCGTGGGTGGTTTGCGGGTACTTTGGTGTGGTTTGCTTCTTCTTTCCTATCAAACATCTATCGCCTTTATCTCCCCTTTTTCTTTTTTGTGTTTGTTACTTTGTTGTAACTCCTCTAATCTTTGGCACTTATATGACCTTATAGTTTTACAAGTGCTGTGAAATACTTACTAAAACAAACAAACTCTGTTTTCTGTCCATCAGATGAAGAGCCAAAATCTGCAGTCTCTGGACTGACCAAGTTCCTGCAGGATATCCAGGCTTCTACACAGAAAGAGAGCTCAGCGGTTTCCGAAGGTAACATTTTCTTTTGTTTATTGTACAAATTTTTTCATTTTTGTTGTTGCTATGTTTGTGGTCTGATCGATTCATAAGACTAGATCTGTGTATTTGTGTTTAAATTTATGTATTAGATTCAAGTATATTTATGTTTAAGTTACTTTTGGGGTTTACAGAACGATGTATTTTGTAATTTGCAGGTTTAATTTTGAGGAAACATGTTTATTTTTTGTAATGCATGTTTTGAGCTTGGTGACTTCCAGAGCTTGAGTGTCCTTGGAAAATGCAAATTTACATTTTAGGTGCCTTTTATTGTTTTTCTATATAAGCAACACAGAAATGTGTTATTTAAATGTACAGAAAAGGTGTTGAGCCTCACCAGAAACTTACGCAAAATTGCCTGATGGATGGAAAAAATGTTGGTTTCTTAAATTTCATTATTTTGATGAGCGCATGATTTCGCTTCGATGCCCCTAAGACAAGTTGTATGGTTAAAAAAATAAAAATCAACATTTTATCCACGAAACAAAACCAAAAGCAAACCCAGATGTTGTGAAGGTGTGTTTTTGTTCCCCCAGCCTGTGGCAAGCCGGACCCGCAGAAGTCGGGCTACATGAGCTCCCCTCTCATGCAGATTGAGAGTTTCCTGGAGGCCCTCACCAACGCTGACCAAGACGGGAGGGTGGTGGTCAATAAGTTAGGTGAGTGACCTATTCAATAAGTTAGGTGAGTGACCTATTCATTAAGTTAAAGGTGAGTGACCTATTCAATAAGTTAGGTGAGTGACCTATTCAATAAGTTAGGTGAGTGACCTATTCAATAAGTTAAAGGTGAGTGACCTATTCAATAAGTTAGGTGAGTGACCTATTCAATAAGTTAAAGGTGAGTGACCTATTCAATAAGTTAGGTGAGTGACCTATTCAATAAGTTAGGTAAGTGACCTATTCAATAAGTTAGGTGAGTGACCTATTCAATAAGTTAGGTGAGTGACCTATTCAATAAGTTAAAGGTGAGTGACCTATTCAATAAGTTTGGTGAGTGACCTATTCAATAAGTTAGGTAAGTGACCTATTCAATAAGTTAGGTGAGTGACCTATTCAATAAGTTAGGTGAGGGACCTATTCAATAAGTTAGGTGAGTGACCTATTCAATAAGTTAGGTGAGTGACCTATTCAATAAGTTAGGTGAGTGACCTATTCAATAAGTTAGGTGAGTGACCTATTCAATAAGTTAAGTGAGTGGACAGGCAGGAGGGAGGTGATCAATAAGTTGCGACATTAGTGCTTTCTTGTCCTATCTCAATTTTTAAGAACAGTGAAATGGTTCATAACAAAGAGTGAGCTTAAGAAGAAGTCACATTTTCAATTTTTTTAAAATGGAGATAGAACAAGAAAGCACTGAGGTCGTGAAGTTAGAGGAGTGACCAGGCGGAGAGGGTAGTGGTCAATAAGTTAGGTGAACCTCTATTATTTCTCTTTCTTTCTGCTCTTTCTGGCTCTTTCTCTCTCTCTGTCTTGCTCTCTCTGTCTGTCTCTCTTCCAGTCATAAGTTTTCTGAGAAACCCCATAATCATATAATTTACCGCAGAATGGCCCTGAATTAGCTGGAAAGCAAAAATGACTAACAATGAGGTGTGTCAGATTATTCACACAAGACAAACCCTGTTTAATGTTTAATGAAGTAACATGTAGAAAGATAGAGCTACAATACTTTGGTCACTTAAAACGTCACCAAACCATTGAGAAAGAAGTGCTTGCGGGAAGGATGTGGGGTGGGAGAGCCTGGGGAAGGCAAAGAGTTACATGGATACCTGGAGGTGTCATCTCTGACTCAGAGGTTGAAAATGTGTAATGACCCTCCTTCTTTCACAGTCGCGAGCTGTCATTGCACATTCTGCCATATCCAGTCCAGTCCTTGTTCTTATGTTGTCCATCCATGTTATTCTTTGCCTTCCTCTAGCTCTCCTGCCCCACATCTTTCCTTCAAGCACCTCTTTCACAATGAATAGACAACATTAAAACATGGACTAGCTTGAGTATAGCGGAATGTGCAACGGCACTGGCGACCTTGAAGGATGGAGGGTCATTACACGTCAACTTCTGAGTCAGAGATGACATCTCCAGGTAGTCTAGCTAGGCATATAACTTTGAGGCACTATGTACTTACTTACTTGGTTGGAGAATAGGCATTATTGTAGGTGGCACAATGCCATAGCTGCTCCTCCCTCCTCTCCAGGATCTGTGGAAAGGTCTGCTTGCTGATCGTGCCAGCTATCAGCTGGTTGGATATTCTTCTTTATTGAGGTACTAGGTGAAGACTATTAATTTTTTTGTTTTCGGTTTTTGTGTATGCTAATATGTAATGTTCCCTCCCACAACTTGTGTGCGTTTTGTTCCCTTATGTGTTTCCCCACAGCCAAGCTGGGCGCGTCCAGTCTCAAGTTCCTCATGCTGAACCCGGCCGTGCACTTCGTCAGTGTGCTCAGGGAGGCCCGGTCTGTGGTGGTGGCTGGTGGGACCATGCAGCCTGTGAGTCGCTGATTGTTGGTG